CCCTCTGACCGGACTGTGAGTGACGTGGGGGGGGGAGGAAAGGAGGGCGAGGGTTGGGGGGGTTAGGGGGGTGACAGGTGAAGGATACAGGGGTGCAGGAAGTGGTGGTGGTAGGGGGAGATGTTCGAGGTGGACAAAACAGACAAAAGACAACAAACGGGAGTGAGGGGACGAGGAGAGAAAGCAGGTGGGGAACACAAAAAACAAAACAGAAAATGGGTAAAGAATATAAGCAGAGAGAGAGAGAGAGAGAGAGAGAGGGGGGGGAAATTAACTAACAGACTACATGGTGTGGAGAAAAACAAACGGACTAGAGTACGAAGAAAAGCGCAAAGAGAAAGACCAACTTAAAGATGACGCCGTATGAGAGAGATGAGAAGAGAACGAGAATGAGGATGAACAAAATCATGGGCTGAAACATCTGGCGGGAACACAAAGAGGAACAAAGAGAGGGAGTCGGGGGGAAAAGAATGCAAAACACTTGTTATGAAGCGCATGCAATGAGGGATACATGAGTCCAAAACCAACAGCTGAGAGATACCACGGAAAACTGCGGAGCGAGAGCTAGCACGCTAAAGGTTTCCAACACATGCCTGCGCACAGCCCAGTGGGTTGTAGGAGGAGAGCCACATCGTTTCACACAGCATTTAAATACACTGGAGGGCTGCCGTCGAGGTTTAAGGCCGCTATGATGGTTGTGAATTAGTTGTCCCACTAGCTAGCAGGAATTAATTACTATTGTGCTAAATAGTTATCTAAATATGTGTGTAGCATTCACTAAGGGAACACATTTAGGCATATTTTCTGTTAGTTCTGACACGCATATTTGAAACTATTATCTCAGAATTAGGGCTGCTCGATTATGGCAAAAATCATAATCTCGATTAATTGGGTCAATAATTGTAATTGCGATTATTAAATGCGATAATTCATTGATAGAGATGTCCCGAATCGGAGCCGATCATGTGATTTTCAAAAAATCGGGGATCGGGATTTTTTAATTTTTTTTAATTTTTATAAATACTTTTTAAAAAACTACTTTTTTTAATTCAATGTTACAAAACAAAAATGACCATGTTCAAGTCTTAAAGTCATCCTGAGGCCTTAGTTTTGGTTTCAAATTACACAACATCATGTATGTGTTGCTTCTTTGGGGCTTGTTTTCATAGACCTGGTTGCTTATTTCTCTCAAATCTGGCAACAGAGTGGGCAGGGCGCAGTGTCTAATTGTAGCAGTAAGCTAACGAGTACTGATAAGCTTTATTTTGTTTTGATCCAATGCCGCACAACTGAACTGATCCAATGCTGCTGTGAAAGAAAGAAGCTATATCCATGTTGGATAGAATATCCAATTTAAATAAAAAAATAACCTTAAGGGACAACTTGAATGCTTTTTTTCTTTTTTTTCTCTTAATGCATTGCATAAAGATCGGATCGGGAAAAATCGGTATCGGCAAATTGTCAAAATCAAACGATCGGAATCGGATCGGGAGCAAAAAAACGTGATCGGGACATCCCTATTCATTGACTTTGAAAACATCCATTTATTGGAGAAAAAAATGTTGAACAGTATGTTTTTAACAGTTGATTACCCTGAGCTTCAAGTATAATTCAACTGAAGAAAAAAAAAAAATAAGAAAAAAATAATCGTTTTATTTCGATTACGTTGTTTTCGTAATCGTTGCAAGCCATAATCGTAATTGCGATTAAAATACGATTAATTGAGCAGCCCTACTCAGAATTATCTCAGAATTGCAAGAGCCATATCTTTGGATTTTCCCTACTGGTCAGAGGTTGGAAATGTTGTGATTGAATATTCATAAAGTAAAACATAAAGTGAAGTCAGATTAGAGTTAAACTGTATGGAGGACAATAGCGAAGAATCCTCTGATCGGTTGGTACAATTCTTTGTTTTGTTTTTGACAAATGAAAGTCATAATTATGTGAAAATGTTTCCACCCCTTCTCAAGATCATTACAAAAAATTACATCAGGATTTAAATATAAATCGAAATTGTTATTGCACGTCGTAACTATCTTGTACACATCTCCTATAATTATATTAATGACATCTTACTAGAGGGTCTGCAGAACTCAAGATCCATAATTACAGGCTGCAAGTCAAGTCAATTATATCATATATTATTTACTAGATTATTATGAGATCTGGCTCTTGTTATTATGAGAGAAATATGATACAATGATGGTATAAATCTTAATAAATCTGAAGTGAGCTTGTTTCTCTCTTGTGAATGCACGTTTGTACATATCTTAATTTCTTTAAATGTATTTTATATAGTTGCCCTACACTTTGTTGCTGCACGGACTATTTCTGCATTTTAAACTCCACAATTCTACGATCATCTTCAACAGAAGGCCTATTTGTATTGAACCGGTGTGAGTAGTTAGTGCAGTGGTTAGCTCTGACTAAACCACCCAGCTTCACCCAGACTAACCGGACCGCACAGGCGTAGGAGCAAAGCAGAAACAAGTCGTTGTATAGATTAAGCATGAAGGCAGCGTCACTCCATTATCTCTACAGAAGCAGATTGGGTTTGAAAATTGTTTGAAGAGCTGTTTGTTTTTCTCCCAACAACGGTGTGAGTGATTATAAAACACACCCAAGATGTCTGCCTGATCATGCAGCACAGAGATGAAGAGCCTGCGTTGGGAGAGCACACAGTGTGTTGACATGTTGACTTACACTAAGCTGCAACAACACACGAGCAGAAAGCAGGATGCAGCCAGCGAGGTTTCTCTCAGCTCACACAGCCCCATGCAAACCTTCTCTATTCAATGGAGGTCATTTTAGACACGGTTTCATGGTTCGTTTCCTAGGAAACACCATGGAGTAACCATGTGTCTGTGTGTGTGCGTGATATGTTGTGCAAACACAACAGCTTCACCATGTGTGTGTCATAATGAGTCACCAGTAGACGATTGTTACTAAGGGCATTTACTTAAGTGCTGCACTTAAGTAGTAATACTTCACATTTCTAGTTGTAATGCCGCTTTCTACTTCTTAATTACTTCTCCAAGGAACACATTAAACATTCAACTCTATAATTATCATTATACTATTATTATCTGACAGCTTTAGTTAGTAGTTAATTTAAAAATTAAGAATTTGGCTCACAAAACATAATGTTTATTAAATATAATGTTGTGTTATAAACATAGATTTTATATATAAAGGGTATACATTCAATTTCTCAACCATATAGCATAGTATAGCATAGCATAAGTCCTGCTGAAATAAAACAAAAATGAAAAATGAAAAATCCTAAAATATTATATTTCAAACCTCTCAAATCTGAGGATTTTTCATAATTAAGTACTTTTATTTTAAATACCTTGATCACTTATTATACCTACATACTTAAGAACATTTTCATTGAATGACTATAACTTAATGTGTAATGTTACAGTTTGAAATAAATACTTTTACTTATGTAAAAGATCTAAATACTTCCTGCTCAACCGTAACTCACACAAATGATAGCATGGTGTAGCAAAGCTGCAGAAAAACAGTTTTACTGAAAACTTCCTTGTGCAATAGTAGATCGTTATTTTAGGAAAAAGCTTTGAATTGAGTCGAATGGGAGAGCGGCCATTACTCCTTCAGTTCCTACTCCATTCATACTGAGCTGCAGACAGTGAGTGCAGGGAGGAGGCAGGCAGGGCTGCGGGCTGGGAGGATGTGCATGGAGATGCAGATGTGAATGTGGCAGCAGCAGCAAGCGATGGTGGGTCGGGGGGGTG